AATCGGGGGAAGCACACTGGGAGGATCTTCAGCACACCCCAAGTGGCATTCTGAAGCTCCCTGGCTGCTTGAGGCTGCTGGGTGGGACTCTATCAGGTTCTTAGTGGGGTACCAAGTCTGAACAGCCTGATGGAGTATGCTGTGCATGCCTTCAGCTCATGTCACGTGGCACACCAAAGCTCCCAACTGTTTGGGAACTCTGGGTGGGGCCCCACTGGGTTCTGTGCGAAGTACCAAGGTTGCACAACAGGTGGAATTTGCTATTTAAGGCTTCAGCTTGTGCCACTCAGCACAGGAGGTCCCCTGTCACTTGGGATCACTGGCCGGGGCCCAGTTAGGACTTGAGCAACCTACCGCAGGCTCCTAGCTGTTTGGGAGCACTGGGAGGGGGCCTTACCTGGTTTTGAGCGAGGTGCTGAGCTTGCATCGCTAGATGGGGTTTGCTGTGCAGGCCTTCAGCTTGTACCCCTCAGTGCAGGCGGTTCCCTTGCAGGGCTTCTTTAGCTAGCATCTCCAAAGCTTTCCGAACTCTGTGAACTGGTTTCAAAGCTTCTGAACCACATGATCTTGTAGCATCACAGTAGTGCCTTCTGGTATCAAAACCTATCTTGGTCATTTACTTCATAGCTGGGCCACAATATCCAACACTCACCATTTAGAAGAGAAGTTTATTTTTGGGTCATGGTTTGTAGAGGTTTTATAGTTGGCCAGCTGCAAGGCACAACAGCAGGTGGAAGGATGTGGGGAGAGGAAAGTTGCTCATCTCACAGCACCCAGGAAGCAGTGAGAGTAAAGAGAGGGCCTGGGAAGGCACATATCACCTTCCAGGTCACACTTGTGGTGACATGCCTCTTCCCACCAGACCCCACCTCCTGCCATCCAGTCACCTTCCCAAAGCCCAGCCTAGGAGTCCATGAGGCTCTGGAGGACATCTGGATACAAACCATAACCAGATGCGAACCTATCTTCTCCTGGGAAAAACATAATTTGGCTCATGGTATGAGGTGAAGAATAGTGAGATTCCCGGAGAAAAATGGCTCTGGGCACACAGAGTCCCAGCCTTTGAATGAAAAGTAGGAGTCCAGCTATGATGGGTCAGGGATACTCTCCCTGACCTTGCTTCCATTTTCATCATGGAGAACCAATGTCCTCAGGGATTTCTGATGCTCTTTGATGACAACCAAGTATCAAACCCAGGTACTAGATGAAGGCTACAGGTCATTTTAACCTAACAACTGGTGTTTGTAACCACCAGCAACCCAGTATTTGACAATTAACCCAGCCCTTTTCTGCCTCATTCTCTGCCTCTTTTCTCCCTTTTTATTTCCTTTCTTCAGCCATGGCGTTATTTTGAATATCTATTATGGGGAAGGACTGGCATTACTAAAATGCCACATAAAAAGTGTCCCAAAAAAACCTCATTTTCCAGAGGCACAGAATACATCTCCCTGGTAGCCAAGTGGGTTTTTTCCTTGTTGGGGCCCTGATCTAAGACCACCAGTCTCTTGCTCAGAGTTATGGTGACAGAACAAAATACAGACAAAATGTATATTTTAGTTACATGGGGGACCAGATGGTCAAAGACCAGTGATGGGCTAAGACACAAGACACCAGTGTCCTTGGCCTTTATTAGGTGCCCGGCTTGATTGGGGGTGTGCTGGTGGGCTGCAGGACAGTGTGGTGGTGAACCACTGACACAGTCAAGGCTCAGGGGTTGAAGAACAATGCATTTTTGGAAAAGCACACAGGAATAGATCAGGATTGATCAGTAACCTGACTGTCTGCTGTGACTACTGAGCTAGACCGAGTTTGCAGGAGTCAGGTCCTCAGCTGCTCTGTTATCTTGCTTTGAGGTGTCAGAACTTTAGACTGTTTGCAGCCATGGCTCTGGCCTTGACTTAGAGATTAATGTCCTTACACCAGCTTGGGGGTCTCACCATAAGTCATGTAGGTCTAGGACAGAACTTCAATTTAATTTTGTGCAAAATTATTAATATTAATTACTGCCTGCCAGGCAGTGAGTCAGCTGGTCCTCAGCACTTTCCCAGTCAGGAACCAACTCGGCAGATGCTGGGCGCCGTGGCCCAGCATAACTCCATGTGCCTTTAAGTGTGCAAGAGTGTGATCTTCCCAGGTTCTCAAGGAACAAATGAATGACTGCACATGGCTTAAGAAGTGCGAGTCTCCTGGGTGAGAAGCCACAGGGAAGGGCATTTCCATGTGCCAGGGTTTTTCAGGGAACACAAAGCCTGTTTCAACTGCTGGCTGGAAGTGATGGAATGTACTATCCCCTGGTCGGGTGACACCTTGTGATACTCTCTGATGATCTGTTGGCATGCTGACCTTCAGATGACTCCGGAGGCTGCTGGCTGTTCCTGGAAGGACAGGCATAGCACTGTGGGATGGAGCAGCCTTGGCCCAATGAGACCTGCTTGGCTGTCCTGCCCAGCATGCAGTGGGCACAGTATAGGACTCACTAAGAGAAGGATGTGTCATGTCACTATCTCCCTCCCTCTAATGTTTGCTTACAGCTGACCTGCTCAGGCTCACCCTGCCCCGCCATGACTGATATGGACCAGGGTCAAAGAGGGTGTCAAGGTACAAACTGGCCCAGGGTGGTGGGCCCCTGGGCTTAAGAGGATTTAGTGCAAGGGCAGTAAGGTATCGCCTGTCAAAACAAGCAATGTCAAAGGCACAGGTGTGCACATAGAAATACAAGGTTCTCAGGACATCCATGGCTAGCACTGGGTGGGCACCATGCTCCCAACCACCAAAGATGCCCCCACTGCCTGCCAGCCTAGCAGATGCTGGGCCCTTGAGGAAGCAAGGCAGGAGACCATGATTGCCCAAGCAAATCCAACCCTGTTTCAGGGAAATAGGTCCCAGTGCTGTGTCCTTGCCTGGTGATGACCTCTGCGTACAGGACAGTCCAGGACACAGGAGTGGCTCTGCTGTGGCCCACACCCAACTGCCCTGGCAGACCAGCCCACTTGGGGCTCAGTCTCATCTCTCATTGTAGGGGCTACACCTATGATGAAAAGGGGGAGAGTACGCTGCTGGCACAAGACAGTGCAGTGAACAGAACACTTGCTCTGCCACACAGCAGGCATGCAGACATGTGGGCAAGTCGAGAATGAATGCATGAGTTCATTTGTTCAAACTCTTCAACAGCATTGCGACTGGGTCAGCAGCAGACACTATGGCTGGGCCCCAGAAGGGGACAAGTGGAAGGCACTGCCTCCTCTGTCTTAGGGTTGCAGCCTGCAGGAGCATCAGTCAGATGCCACCAAACTCAAGTGGCTGCTGGGACAGAGGTCCTCAAGCAGAAGTGAGTGTGGGCGTTTGACCTGGTGAAGAGCAAGAAAGCACATTCTGGCCAAAGTCTGAGGGCAAATGGGAATCAACTGCAGGAATTTAAATGAAAAGCTGGCCCAGAGAAAAGCGAGGGAAGAGCATGGCTCTGGTGATAAGCTCCCCTTGGGGATGTCCTGCGGGAGCCTCACTTTGCATTATGGCTCCTGGAATTGAGAATGTGCATATCACGGACAGCAGAGCTGTTAGTCAAGGGCCATTGAGAGACAGAGACAGGAAATCTCAAAGAGGAAGCCGCTGCCCATGTGCTGTGCTGTTTCCATTAGAGCCTGACAGAAGGTGAGGGACTACCTCAAGACCTTCTTTCCAGAGAAAACTGGGGAAAGGAAAAGTGATGTTTCCTAAGAACTCACCTTGTGCCAGGCACCATCAGTTCTCATAAATTCCCTAAGAAATGTGGGTATGAGGTTAGGAACACTGACCAGATCCAGAGCCCTAGCAAGGTGCTAAGACTCAGATCTCCTTGAAGCCCTCTTTCCTTCTCTCTTGCCATGTTGGGCTTGCATTTGGATCAACACAGAACCTCTCATGGCTGCCTTACTGCCCACAGGCCCTCCAGAGGGCCCACTGAGCTGGATCCTAGCCTGTTCAATTTTATAGTACTCCCTCGAAGGCACCATCTGCTATGTGGTTAGATCACTGCAGAGAACCTGAAACTCAGGACTGGACACTTTGAACAGGCTGTCTATTCCACGGTGTGACATAAGCAGAAAAGCAGTTTGGGTTTACGATGGTCCTTTCTGGGGGAAGGGGTGGTGGGGTGGTAGGGCAAAAGGATTAGAAATACTCCTCTTCACCTTTCTTTCCACCACCGGCAATGACCGTGGTTTGAGGGTGGGGTGGTGCCCAGACATCACATGATTTGATACCACTTGGTAGCCTTTCATACTCACCAAGAATGTCCCTTCTGGAAGATCACGGGTAACTTCACCTACATGAAGTTGCCCTTTGAACTGATCTTGAGTTTATTTACTCAGCCCAGCCTATGCAGCTTGAGAACTGGAAATCTTTTGAGACTCACATACCTTGACCTTATTGAAATGGAATAATTCAATTATTTGCTTAAACCCAAGTTCCAGGCAGCTTTTAACTTCCCCAGCAAGACTTTGTGTGTTCTGGGTGAGCCTTGCTCTTGGAACTGCCAGGAAGTAGGCCATGGGGAGGGAACATGTGCAGCTCCTCGCACCCCAAGTCTCTACCTGCCCAGGGGTGAACACCACGTTGTCTCTGCACAGAGCCAGGGCCAGGGTGTGGGCTGGTGGTGAGTGCTTACTTAACAGCATGCGACAGCCCTGGGTCCATTCCCAGCACCACTGAAGGAAAAGCAAGTGTGAATGCACAGGAGCCGGAATGCTCTGGGAGTGCACATGGCTGGCTGTCAGGTAGTGACCATGATAGGGGAGGGGAGATCCCATGACAGGAGCCACGTTCTAACCCAGGCCCAGTGGGCAAGCTGCCCTTCAACTCAGCCCAGCTTCCACCACACAGAAAACATAACCCTGCCATCCACAGGCCCTGCAGAAACATGAAGCACTCTGACACATTTTTACGTGACAAATTCTAACATTCTAAGCTGAGGATACCAAGACCCCGACTCTTTAAAAAGAAAAACCCAGAAATACAACAGCTGGTTTTAAACCTTTAATAAAAGTAAAAAAAAAAATGAATGCAAAAAGAACACAATGTTGAAAACTTAATATCAATGTGAATCTCACTAGTTGTTCAAATCTGGAATAGTGCAAATTTTGCTCATACTTTTTACATTTTTACAAACTCAAATGACTTTGGTTCAATATATTTGCTACAAACTATTGGCAAAAAATTTTTTGGATTCACATTTTTTGGCTACATTGTTTTAACAGATACAGATTTACTTCCAGTTTAAGAGAAAAAAAAAACCCCACACTGTTTGTGCATGATCAAGTATATTGGAAAGATTCACATACTGCTTTCAACTAGCAGCCTCTGGTTTTCATAAAAGGCCAACATTTTCACTGAAAAATGTTTTCACATAACCCCTGTTTTCATTTTAAGAAAATGCATAAGGGATCATCCCAAAATTCAGGACAACCCATCTGCTTTTAAACAAAATTTCTCTAAAACAAATTAGCTTCAGAAACCTAAAATTTACTCCAAGACATTTTCCTCAAAATGAAATACAGGCAGCCACACCCGGAATGAACCCACATGCGTCGGCTGGCAGCGGGCAGTCACGCTCCTGTCCTGCTGCCTGGTGACTTCTGGAGTCTCTGCATTCATCTAAAATGAGCCCAAAACACTTATGTTGCAAAATACAAAACAAGGTAAATTTGTAAGTAAAAATTACCATCCCCACAAAACCGGAGTATATCAGTGGGCCTGGGCTGGGGGAGGTCTGGCGGGAAGGGACCTCGGGACTGAGCAGTACGCTCACCTGCCTCCCTGCGGCACTGAAATGAGTGGAGAACCCTTCTCTGGAGCATCTCAGACATTAAAAAAAAAATAAATATTTAAGAGGATACAAGGCTCAGATTGGTTTTCATGTACATTGCACTTGAAGTTTGAGACCCAATGCCTGCAAATTAGGTCCGCCATGGTCTACGCCATGGAATGAATACGCTGTGCTCACCACCGTGGTCGAGCGCTTAGAACATCACACGGGCAGTGCAGTGACGCACGCACTCTTCTCTTTACAGGGCAATCACAGATTGCAAGTTCCACAGGGCTGTGGAAAAACAGTCCTCTCTACTCTGGAGTCACAGAGAAACAACTTTGGCTCGCTGAGATTAAAATACACAGCAGACAGCGAGCCACTCATAGATGATTCCAGACTGAATAAAAAGTCACACACTGAGGTCAACGCCCTAGATCACAGTGTAGGACTTGATTCCTCATGCCTGCTGCTCCCGTCAGATTGTCTACACAAAGCTCTGTGGGCCAAATGCAGCTTGTGGCCTGCTTCCTGGTGACACGCACATGTGTGACTGCCTGGGTGTGCATGGTGCCACCACAGCAAGTGTGACCATAAGCTGCTACGGGACATCCTCAGAGCGCCACCTTCCTACACTCACCACTGCTCCTGTTTTGCTTTTCTACACAGCCCTATTTTTTAAAACCTTTTGGATAAATATTCCTATTATACCATACTTCATCATTAAGCACCATCAACCTGTTTCTGTGGGCACCAGTACAAACTGAGAGTTGGAATTAAGTTTTAGTTCAAGGCTTTCGCATATGGCAACTTGCTTTTAATAACACGAATGTGAGCTAATACTTGGGAAACTGCCGCTGCTGGGTGCCCACACACAGCCTGGGCAGGGTGCTCCAGGGCACTGGTGGGCACTATGTATTCAGCCACTAAGACTTCAAGGTAAGCACTGTCTCCGCTCTGCTATTCTAGACATTTCTAGGTGGACATTTCTTCTGGAGTCATGAGTACAGTCAGCCCAATCTAAATAAGAGTATTCAGGAGAAAGATCATCTTCATTGCAACCCACTGCCCCAAGTTTCTTCCCAAATCTGGTTTCTTATTCTTCAGAATCAGTGGGTTTGGAAGCTCAGTCGCTATGCGGCTTCTCAGGAACACCCTATGTGGAAAAGGGAAAAGCAAACACATTTAGCTGCTTGGCAGGTGTGAGGTTATAGTTCAATCCCCAGCACCAGAAAAAAAAAAAAAAAAAAGATTAGCTCCAAGTATATAACTACTTAAATATCAAGAGAGCAGGTCCCAAGAGGCTTCTAAAAAATCACACTTCCTGACAGTAGAGCAAATGACCGAGATGGGAGGATCGTGGAGACCTGAGGCCTGACAGTAGCTCACTGGCTGCCCTGCTGGGCCCCACCTAGTGGGACCGGCAGCACTTGTGTGAGGGAGCCTTGCCATGTGGCCCCAGCAGTGACCCTTTTGGCAGAACAAGAACCAGAGAGTTCTGACTGGTACAGCTGACAGCAGTCTGGCCAGAAGGTCTCTGACCCACCTGACCTGCCAGCAGTTGGCAGTTCCTGCCACTGTTCTCTGTCCCTTCCCCCACGATCCTTATAGGAGCCTGTGTGCTAAGTAAACTCTCAATGCAGGATCAAACAGACCTAAGAGACCGAGCTGCTTCGTGCTCTGTCCCCAGGCTGGGCCCTCTGCACACCACTTCCTCCACTGGGCAGGCAGCTTTGAGGTGAGCACACCAAATGCTGGGACTGCCAGCCAGAAAACCATAGACTGTCTTTTCTGAACAGACAGTTAAGGACAGAGTCTTAGCAGAGTCAACAAGGTACTCCAGAATGCTAACACCCGGCATGCCTTCCAGGTTAGGGTCACTCCTAGGAACAAGCAGAGTCAAAATGAACACAAGAAGGCTCACACGTGTCAACCAGAGCGCATATCCTGCCAGTTATCTGGAGACAGAACTGCTCCTCAGAGTTGCCTGCCTCCTCCCTCGCACTGGTAACGAAGAGAACGAAGAATGCTAAGAGCGCACAGGTCTCTCAGTATACTCAGATTAGGTCTGTGCTTGCCAAGAACACAAACGACCCCGCCACGAGACAGCTGCTAGCAGACTCCTGGGAGGCCGTGTGACAGGCGAGAGTGGACGTGAGGGTGGCAGGGGTGTGCTAAGGGCAAGAGGGGTTCAAATGCCACCTGCCTGGCAAATTGTTTGCCACTCCCCATTTAAAACAGTCTGACAGTAGTTTCACCTCGGTGCTGGGCCACCAGGGCTCCAAAGCAAACAATCAACGTCCCACGGACAGCAGCAAGTGCTCAACCAGTGAGCGCTCACAACTGCCAGAATATGGCTGCTGTCAACGGTGGCTGAGCTGGGTCAATCAACAACAGCAGCGCCAAACTGAGCCACCAGCAGGTAGCAGGCACACACCTGATTGCTGTCCTCGCCCGAGGCCGGGTTTGAGAGATGTTAAGGCCAACAGCTTCCATTTCTATAAGTAACAGCTGGCGACCTGTTGTCTTCCTTCAGTCACACAAACTGGCAAAAATTCCCTGCCACATTTCTGGCCGTAGGACAACAGCAAGCAGGGAGAAGAAACACCGAGAGCACTGAACTGCGAGTGGAGTTAGCGTCAGTGCTGCAGGGAGCGGGCCCGGCAAGAACCCCCATTCTCTTAGGGAGGGATTGCAGGTGGGACCACAGGAGAACCCACGCGTGAACAAGAGCGGAGGCAGGGGTCACCTGGAACAACTCAGCACTCACCCACCCTCCCAGAACGACTTCTGCTGCTCCTAGGATTTGGAACCTGCACATGCTGTGAAAGTTCTACCTCCCCCAACAACAGTGCCCACTGAGCTCTCTAACAATGACCGAGAGCCTTCAGTGCGACTGTGCAGCAGCACTGATCACCGCAGCCCCAGCAGCCAGCCTCCTAAAGCCACTCACATTTTAACTGAATGACCAGGTAACCTGACTGAAGGCCACTGTATTCCAAACTTCTTCACAGAAATGCTCTGCCAAAGAACACTCAAAACTTTTAAAGTGGCCTAGCACTACTACTGACACTGTTGTATCAGCCACTCAGGAGGTAAGACTAGAGGGTCGCAAGTCTGGGAGCAGCTGTCTCAAGATGAGAAGGGTACAACGTAGTTCAGTAGTAGCATGCTCCTGGGTTCCACCTGCAGTGCCACAAAAACCAACCCATGAAACACACACATAGCAATACAGGAGTACTTCAGTTCTCCCCGAGAACTGAAGTACCCCCAAGGGTACTTCAGTTCTCCCCGAGGACAAGTAAAGTACGCTCCTGGGAAGTGACCCGGTGTGTGCAGAAGTGCACCCTTTCCAGGTGAGATCATCTGACCACACAAATTTCCAACGTTACAGAAAACAAAACCCTCTGATTCTCTCTTAGGGACATGAGAAACAGTGTTTTCAGTAGAGACTCCCTTGTTTTGGCAGGAGATCTGTAGGGAATTAACAGAAGCAGATGAAAAAGACTCTTAAGACTCAGAAACCAGTGGAACACTTTACCAGTTCTAGCCTCTGGAAATGACTTCTCATCTGAGCAACACGGAAGGGGCATTCGAATCCAACTCCAGGTTAGTCAGCTCAGCAGGTGCAAATAAATGCACCATTATAAAGACAGCAGAAGTGCTACGGTAAGTTTCTGAGGCCAGGAGAGCTTGTTTCTGAGGCAAAGCTCTAGTTTCCTTTTAAATTCATTCTACTTCAGCCCTTCAGTCAAACTCACCTACAAGTAACATCTGTCTGTCTGCATTTGCTTTTAAAAGTAAAGTGCTCAAATGTCCATGCTAACCTTCAGAACAGAACTGCCGCCACCGCCCTCTCTCCTTCTGCCTTCAACCCTCAGGATGTAACTGTGCCCTGGGAGGTGGCACTGCCTTCTTTCCCACTCTGAGCCACCAAGCCTTGTACTATGACTCAGGAGGACCCTGCCCTGCACACATGGCTATCTGTTCCCAAAAGGGCCCTGCATGCTGATCCTGTCTCCTGGCCAGGATGTAGTCACTTGCGGTTGAAAGCAGAGTCTCCCAGTGTCCTCTGTTCCCATGTAACACAGCCACGTAGTAAGTGTCATTTATTGGTAATCTGGGTCCCTGACACATTGGCTTCAGCTGTTCAGGACTGCTCTCTGCTGCTTACTTTATCAGATCTGCAAACTCAAGACAGGCCAGGGCCACACCCGGAGGCCAAGGACTGCACTGAACCTTAGCTGCTTCTAGCACAGGCCATGAGTTTAGAAACCCATAAACTTTTAAAATGAAGCGAACAATTAATTACCTGAGTACTACTACCTCTTTATGCCACGCTCTTCTCAAGTCTGTTTGCCACTCTGTCTGAACTACACATGTGTTAAAGCAGATGAAGCACAGCGCTGACACAGTTCTGTTAAGATAAACCACCGGGCAGAGGAGGCCGTGCAGTGGTCACTTCACTTACCATAGCTAACTGTCGTCCTATGTTTCCCACTGTGACTCCTCCTGAGAAAAATATACATGGGAGCCACGATCGAATATAGAGGAAATCTGGGGAGGTATACCTAGAGGAAAAAAGAAAGGAAGAGCTTAGGAGTCTGCTTCACCAGGGTGATTCTGGGCCGGAGATCTCTAGTATGGGGTCCACACAATGCTGCATAACCACAAACTGCTGCAAAGATGTCACCATCTGAGTGCCACGCCTCAGGGTTACCACTCGGTGTCTGCTGCCAGCAGAGCAGAGGCAGGTGGAGGATTCATGACTATGTCCTGGGGCCGTAGGCAGAGCAGCATGTAGGGTGCACACTTACTGATAGACACCATTGTACACGAGAAACTGAGTGATGAGCGTCGCTAGGAAGGCTATGGTGATCCCGAGCCCAAGGCCACTTCTGGAGCGATCAAATGTCCACCAAAGGCCCAAGGACAAGGCTGCCAAGGTCAAGGACAGCTGGACATTATTGGCAAAATCCAATTTCTGGTGATGCACAAGTTAAAGAAAAGCTCAACAGTTTTTCATAGGATCAAAAACACTTAAACCACAGGTGCTGCTCACAGGAGTTTGTCAGTGCACAGCAAGTATTGCCCAAGAGCTGTGCAGGGAGCTGGCCCGGCTTCCTGGGCCACCAGGTCAAAGTAGAATTCAGGTACAGCCCCTCAAAGCTACACATAAGTCTTCTCAGGGCTCCGGACATAAAGCAACGTATTTTGCCACGAAGGAATCACTTTTTTCCTTTTCTTCTTTTCGTGACTTAAAGTGAGCAAATAGTCTCCTCAAGTCTGCACGATGATCTCCAGGTACCCTGAACAAGACACTTAGAGCTGTCATTAAACTCTGCTCAACTGATGGCAAAACTGATTTGTTGGAGCTATCATCTAGTAACACGGGAGGGGCTAGGGATGCGGCTCAGTGGTAAAGCACCTGCCTGGCAAGCGCACCATCCTGAGTCCAATCACTGGCACACACACACACACACAAAGGCGTATGTTAAATTAACATAGAGGGAAAGCAACCTGAAGACCTCTAAGAATATCTTTCCCTTCATCTTACTACAGCTAGCAACAACTGAGGGAGTCACTCCTTTTCTCCATCTAATTCTAAGCAGCATCCTACTTACTATTACTTTCATTGTCCGAAGACACAGAAAGTAACAAAACCTCAGGAAACTGCCGATGCTCGCCTTGGTATGTACTACCTGCCCTGTCATAATATAAGATCAGAGTGAATTCTGGGACAAGCATACGTTCTGAGCACCTCCACTGTGACACAGCACCTGTCAATCACAGCTAGAAACTCAGCAGGAGGCCCCCAACACTGAGGTGCACAGTCTTTAAATCCTGGAGCCCACTTTATCTGTGCATGTCACTCTGCGGCTGAGGCTATCTTTCTGTGCTCTGACCCAAGTGTAGTGTTTCTCTACCACCCTTTTTCCGTCTGCCTTATCTGACGCTGTAGACTTGCCCTGAGCATAACTTGCATATGATCTTTAATAAAGGGAGCTGCTCACTTACTCCTGGGTGCACCACTGGGCAGTTCTTTCCTTGCTGTACACAGCAGCCTGGGTTTAATGGCCCATTCCACTGCAAGGACTTTGTTCCAAAGAAAATCTCAATCTTTCAAACTATGGACAAATTCTCAAAAAGGCAACATGGACAATGCCAAAGCACACTGCACAGGAGGAGTTCTACCCACAGATGCCGTAAGCGCCGGGTCTTCCACGACTGACCCTGGATATGAGGGGCAGCTGCAGGCGCTGTCCCATAATGTAACGACAGCTCCTCTCTCCAGTCCCTTCCATCATAGGTGCCACCATACCCTCAGCCTAGGAGGACAGCAGGAAGACATGTCAAAGTGAATTATGAGAAGAACTCTTAGGAGCCAAAAGATAACTGAGAAAGGAGCACAGGGAACACAGATTGGCTCTGGCACTATTTTAACAGTGTCCCAAAATATAAAGGCACTCTAGGAACTGTACCCTAAGACTCCTGCTAGGTGTCAAGCAGATGATATACTCAAAGATATGGATGAGGTACGATACCAGATGCTCAACAGAAATAATATGGTGGTTACTCATGTGACCTCAGGGACCCTCTGGACACAGCACATTGAGTCAAGGATACAGCACTGGCGTGATTAATGCCAACAAAAACCGCAATGCAGCGCATGACGCTAGCCCACTCTCTCTTGAACTTGTGGGGCTCTCCCAGATGACTGTCGATACAGGGGTACAGTAAGCCGACAACAGCTGTTTAAGGAAAAGACAACACTGTTAGAACATACCAGCTGAAAGCCACAGTTCTCACATTGATGCTCTGGAACGGTCGTCATTAATACTCAGAGCAGCCCCACAGAGGGGCATTGGCCACCCCTCAGGTGCTGCAGCTATACTCTAGGAGACACAGAGCACTGCTGCATGTGCATGGTGTGGACAAAGCTACCTTGCCCTGAAAAGGGTCAGGCAGAGGAAAGTGGGCCACGAGTCCCAGTGTGCCCTGTGTGGACGTAGCTCCTGGTGTTTGTTTTCTCATGTGTGACATGAAGAGGGTTATGTAACTGGTGGGCAGAGGAGGAAGAGCTCCCTCGATCTGCAGTCAGGAAAGTGCCACAGACGCAGAACCCTAAAGACCATTTGAGCAGTGGATGGCAAGCCTTCCAAAAGAGCAGTATAGTAGCTAAATAAGCCATCTGCAGCCCAAGCGGGACACAAGGTTCTCCTGTAAAGTGCACCCTGTCAGAGGAGCTAAAGCCTGGTAATGGCTTTACTCAGTCTGGCAGGAGAGAGGCAGGCATTCTGGTTTTTTAACGGTGAACAGAGGAGCAGGGTTAGCCACCCACTCAGAGTCACAGAAACTATGGTACATTCCTGGAACTCACCAAAGTTCTAGTTACAAATAACCTCATTTTGCAGATTGTTTTTGATTAAAAGAAATAAACTACCGTACCACATTGTGCTTGAAAAGTGCAATTTCAAATCCAGCTCCACTTTTCAAAAAAGAACTCTTCATGAGCACAGCCATGTCCTTAAAGGTTCAGAGAAAAAGCAGGGTCCCATCTTTCCGAGAACAAAGATGAGCAATTTCTGCCCCAGCAGATAAAAGCAGCACCCTGCCTGGCTGGAGCAGTCCTCCAGCAGGGCGGCTCTGCACTCACCACTGTGGATGCTGGAACACTGCACACTACACTTAACCTCTGTGCCTCAGTTTGCACATCTGGTCACAACCAGATGGAGTTAGGGTAAAGCTATAAAGGGACAAACAAAACTGGATAAAGCTATAAAGGGACAAACAAAACTGGATAAAGCATGCATGCTGCCAGTGGAAGTCTGCCACAGAGCACACAGGTGCTTGCCCTGCCTAGTTTTGTATTTCAAGTGCTCTTGGGTGGAGGCTGCACCTGATAAATGTCTATTATATAAACAAATGCTGGGTCATTAGGTTAGTTAGCAATATGCTGGGCCATGACCATACAACGTTTTTATAATCTAGCTAAACTATAATCAAGAAATTCTATTAAAAAAACACACCAGTCCGCAGTTTAACTATTTCTTGTTGGGCTCTGGCGTGTCTCTGAGGCAGGTCAGGTGTGCTGCAAGCTACCCTCTCCAGTCCTTCCCTCAGGAGACAGGGTGGTGGTGGTGGCTACTTGGCGGAAAGCCACCACAGAAGGAAGTGCTAACGAGTTGCTGCCCTGGCAACGGCTTCTTGCACACGTGACGGTTTGTTTTCAGTTACCCGCAGGGTAGCATGTTCATGCGGACAGCCAATGGTGTGCAGCCCTGCCCTCACCAGTTCTGCAGGTGGCCAATCCCTGGGCGCAGGCCCTGGGTGACAGCTGGGCCTCTGTCATCCGGACGCTAGAGGACGCGACTTGTTAGCTGGCCCAGGTTTGCTCAAACAGCCAGTTATCTCCGACCTCATCTCCATCCCTGCTCCTCAAACTTCAGGGCTGAGGTTGGCCGGCGCGGGCTCCCCACCCTCCCGGCCGGTCCTTCTCCGGACACAGACACTGCGATGCCAGCTGTCACTCCTTTGCAAACGTGCGCTGCTCCCGGGCTGGGAGGGGCCTGGCAGGGGACGCTGCCTCCCAGTCCCGCGCAGAACACTCACCAGCGGCCGTCCCGCAGCACGGCGGCACCCACCAGGCCGAGGAGAAGATGGTGGCAATCACCTCGTCCGGAAAGAGCGTGACATTCCTCTGGATCTGCAGCAGGTTGAGCACCAGAGCCAGGACGACCCCGACAGAGAAGAGCACGAGGCTCCTCTGCACCAGGTCGTGGTGCCAGCTGCTGACCCGCGGGCTCTGGGGCACGGGGTCGGAGTGCGGGACCCCGGCAGCAGTGGGCGCAGGGGTGACCAGCATGCCTGGAGTCAGGGCGGCGCGGGCTCGCGGAGGGCTCGGACGCCGCGCGGCGCAGGGACAGCTCCAGAAGTGGTCGTGCAACCTGGGCATCGGTGCGCGCCGCGCCGAGGGTCCTGAGGGCAGCAGATAAGTCATGCCAAAGCCCGCCTTGGCGGGACCAAGTCGGAATCCCCGCCCACGCCCCAGTACCCGCGTACCTGCCGAGGGGCACCCGCCCGCGGCCGGAGAGCGAGCGAGCACAGGTAGGGGGGCGGTGAACACCCGAAGAAGAGAAGGAAGAAGCAGCGCACCCGGCCGCAGTGCTCTGCTGACCGTCCACTTATATGGCGGGCCGTAGCCCCGCACCACGTGACCTGGCCCGGCCTACCCGCCGTTCGCGCGCACCGCCCAAGGGCGTGGCCCCTCATGGCCCCGCCCCTCCCGCGCGCCCGTCCGCACTGCGTCTGGTGAGGCGGCCGCGACCAATGGCAAATGGGCGGCCGATATGACGTGCTCACACGCCACCGCGGCGCGCGCCGGCACGCGCTTGGCGGGAGCGCGCAGGGCCGCTCAGCGCGAGGGAGGGAGACACCAGGGGCGGAAGTGGGACGCTAGGCGGAATCGAAATGTGCTGGGGGGCGGGGAGTAGAAGGACCGCGGGCGCCGGGCTTTCCCACCTACCGTCTGGGGCCCTGGCGAGGCCCCGCAGGCGCTGGCAAGATCGTTGTGACATCATGGCCGTGCGCAGCGCGCCGATGCACGACGTCCTCGTCCCGCGCCCTCCGCATCTGGGACAGCGAGCCGTGCGAGCCAGTTGGGCGAACGATCGAGAACGCGGGGCTGGTTTGCAGGCTGCCTCTGGGATCTAGGAGCCGCGGGTAACACGTCCAGACTCGGGACATCTGCCCATCTGGAGCCCATCTGAAAGGCCCGCGCCTGGCCACGAAGTCTCCGCGGGGCCTGAGGCAGAAAGCACCTGGGCAGGGGACCCTGCTAGCTCAGAATGTCATCGAGTCACTTTCCCTGGCGCTATGCCAAAAGAAAAAAAGCAAACAAAAAACCGCCTGAGTACAAAGAGTGACATCTGAACTGTCAATATTTCTCAAAGTTCACGGGGCATGAAGGGAGTCTGACCTGTCCCATTTCTGGAACGTGACCCAGCAGGGGATGGAGCGTCCGTGTCCCTTGTCCCATGCCCAGTGTACAGACTAGGCCGGCTTCCACCTCTGCACACTGTCCCTGAGTCTTGCTAGCTGCTGTGGGTTTGTGCCCCAGGAGTCAAAACTTGTGACTTGAAGGAATACTGTGGTCAGGGTCCCTGGTGAGTACAGATTGCACACACATACACAGGCGTGCCTGAACTTGGGCACTGTGTGTCTTGTCATAGCAACACAGAAAATAGATGAAGCTACCCAGGTCAGGGAATAGAGCTCAGTGGCGGAACGCCTGCTTGGCAAGCCCAAGGTCCTGAGTTTGATTCCACACACAGCAACAATGAAAAAACAAAAGGAAGCTGCCCGAGGTGCTAACTGGTAGGAAACTGCTTAGACCGGGGTTGGGGGGTTCTTTGTTACTAAGAGTGCTCCAGGAGCAGTGCTCTCCACCCCACCCCACCATCAACCACCAGTCCATTGTCACTTATTTTGGGAAACTGATACAAATCAGGAAGTTGTGTCAGCTACAGCCTTGACGCTGGATTGGAAAGACTCCGAGATGTGGGGAGCATCTAGATTGTGCCCGTGGGCTGTGAGAGGGGCAGTGAGTGGAGGCAGCAGTTCTTGATGGACCTGTCCAGCCGCTCAAATGCAGGCTCCCATCTCTCAGATAACAGGTGTATACGGGATGTTCTCTCTTCGTGGTCTCCGTGTTGGCCATGCAGACTACCGCATGTTCTCTCAGTTGCAACACCCCACACATGCAAGTGTGTAGTTTATGGGCTCTGTGGATTGGTACGTTTCCTGTCTAATATGGAAAGTGGTGTTGAATCCTCCAGCTCATTGCTCTGTTAAGAACTGTTTGTTACTTTTCCTACGCAGGCAGCATCAATGCAGTCTGGTACAGCCCCTTTGCCTCCCCAGCTTTCCTCTTCTCATCTGCACTGAGACCACAGCAAGCCTGGGACTTTTCCAGAGGCACAGGGACACTGGGTGTTCCAGGACATAGACCAGGATGTCCACTCAGCAAGAATGTGGAGGGATGCCTATGTCTGGTTCTGTGGGTCCCTTGGAGAAGTGTCGTGGACTCCTAATCTTAGGTTAGTCCCTCGAGTTCAGTGTTTGGGGAAACGTGTTTAGGATGGTTCTGTTTTGTTCTCATCACACTGCTGTATGTTAATCATTACAGGTATGCTATGAACTTGGAAATGTTTACTTCGCAGTGACCAAAGAACTTGGCCAGTCCTTCTGGATCACTAGTAAGCAGGCTGGTGGGATAGCACCTTGACATCCACAGCTCCTCTGGTTATGGAGTGGTCAAGGGCCCAAGGGCTTTATTTGGAGGAAGGGGTACTGGGAATCAAACTCATGCTTGCCAGGCAGGTGCTGCACTGCTGAGCTAAATCCCTGGCCCCTGCCCAAGGACTCTGAGCTGCCCTGTGGTGAACAAGCAGGTTCCTCATACCCTTACTCGGGCCATTATTTCTACTGTAACTTTAACAATCCTTTATAATAACTATTCTTAAAATAGATCTGATAACAATACACAGAGTCTGCCAAAAATGTATACACACTTCAGGAAAAGACATACTTGTATAAATATTTTAATGCTAAACTTGATGAGCCATCACAAGATGCATACAAATTGCCTTTGGCCTCTGCCATTACAAGAGGTGCTCAAAGTGCTAAGTTTATTGGGACAGTGAATTGCTGCTTAGTCTTTGAGATTGCTGCATGTGCACTTTCAAGTTCTTCTCTAAAGACCAGCAGTATAGTGGCTTTTCTGTGATACATGACATCCACTAGGGTCCCCCCCATGAAGGTGACACCATCTGTTGGAAAAAACATCACACTGGGCTGGGGGTAGAGCTCAGTGGCACAGTGCCTGCCTAGCATGTGTGAGGTTGTGAATAATTCCCAGTACCAAAAAAAATGCACTATTTTTCTAAACTGTGTATACATTTTTTGTTGGACTTTGTATTTACTTGTTTAAAAGAATCAGGTGTTCATAAATCATTTAGGAAATATGAAAAACCATGTTTTAAAAAAATCATGTATAGTCCTACCACCTAAGGTAGATATTTGGAGTATGCATTTCCAGATATTTCCCAGTGCAAAATGTCCTTGTTTTGTTTTGTTAAGCAGAACCACACTTCACATGAAATGGAACCAATTCCTAACTGACACAAATGTCTTCTGAGCCCATGTGCCATTGTTGTGATGTCTCTACCGGAACCTGATTTACATGCCACACAGTCCTGCCACAGAGAAGTGCAGCCATCACCACAGCCACTGTAACCCAGTTCCCTCTACACCCACTCCCTGGCCACCACTCCCCTGCTTTCTGAGCCTGGACTTTGATGTGGATGTATTCATAGACTATGTGGTCTTTTTTGATTGACTGCTCACAGTGCTTTCAGGATTCCTCCACGTTGCAGTGCGTACTCATACCCTATCTATCCCTTTCTAATGGGCAAATAATATTCCATTATGTGGAGGTACCACATTTTGTCTTTGCATCACCTGGTGATGGACATTTGAGTTGTTTTGACTTTTTCACTCTGATGAATAATGGCGTGATAAACGTGCACCAGTTCTGTGTATGTCACCCCTTCTTTTGGGCAGGTGGAGTTGCTGAGTCCTGTGGGAACCCAATGTGTGATCATCAGAGGGGTCTTCCCAAAGCAGGTACCCCATTTCACAGTCCCTCCAGCAGTGTGCCAGGGTCCTTGCCAACACTTGTTACTATTTAACTTTTTGATTTCCCCATCCTGGGAGGTGTGATCATGACATCAGTGTTAACAGTCCTGTATGTGGGGCGTCTCAGCTAAGATTGTGGTAGGTGCCATTCTCCAGGAATTAGGGGAAGAGGAGAGAAACTGTGTAGGACTGCAGCAGGCCGCCTGCCATCCGGGCTGCAGATGCCCATCACATCTGTGTGGACTTGGGGCAAAGAGGAAATAAAAGTTTCTGTGATCTCTGCATTGCTTCTGTAATTGGTTATCATGCCTTCCCTCTTAGTGATCCTGGGACTCACCCTTGAGAGTATACCTCTAGTAGGGCCTTGTGATCAGCTAGGGAAGCTGCAGGAAGAGGCTGCAGGGGAGAGCCCTGCCCAATCCTGCATCTGTACCTGGAACATGAGGGAAAGAGGCAAGGTATGCAGGGAAACCACAGCTGCAACATAGAAAGAAGGTGGCCAGGAAGGTCATTGTGGAGTATACTACCACAGCGCTGACCGACTAGAGGGAATGATTGGCTGAGGTGGAGAGGAGGAGGAGAAATAAGGGTCCCTGGACAACCCCAGGGGTGAGCACGAAGAGGCTTTGAGAGCACTCTGGGGAAAGGTCCACTGAGGTAGGAAGAAGATTCAGAGGGAAACCCCGGGGGTGGCTCCAGGAAGAAGAAGCTGTCCCTGGTGGCCTTGGAGATGAAGATCAAGTCATGTCCCATGGCTTGGTGATGTGGGGTCAGGGCACCTCCGTGTGAGTCCTAGGGGGAGAAGCCACTGTGAGCAGCAAAGACAGGAGGGTGATTTTGCAAGAGCGGCCAGTCCTGGAAGGGGTTGGCTGTGATGGGAAGGAGATACCCGAGGCTGGGAGAATCCATGAGGAGGGAGTTCTGCTTTTAAGATAGGCAAACCTTGAATGGCTTCAAGTGCTGATGAGAGATTTAGGGGAAAGCAGGGGGTTGAGGAAAGAAGAGGGAGCAGGCACTGGTGGTAGAAAATGATTCCCCATGGAGCTGAGGAGGCCAGGTGGGTTGAGCCCTGGGAGAGGAAGGGATGCCCGGGGTTGGGGTGAGAGGGAACTCAGGGCCTGGTTGTTCTCAGGACAGGGATGGAGCAGGTGCAGGCAAGATGGGTGGTGGCAAGTCCCTGGGGTCAGGGGCCTGCAGGGTGGCTGACATGGTCTTCTGTACCACTGGCTTGCGGAGCAAGGCTGACCAGGGAGGACATCCTTAACTGGGCTGCTTTCTACTGGCATAAAAAGACAGTGGCACAAGGGATCATGGCTGGTGACTGGGTGGAAGGAGGGGTGGACAGCATAACTGGAAGTGACACTGTCCATTGTCAAAGGGCACAGTTACTTAGCTTAATCAAACAACCTCATCTGGCATTGATTGCTAGGATTGGGTCACATTCCGTTCCATAAAGCAATAATCACTCTAGTGGGCTAAGCAGGGGAGCTTGGGTTTAGAGTCAGAAACCCAAAAAAACGCAGAAATGAAATGAAAGCAGACCATGCAAGTAACTTTCCTTGGAAGGGACCAGGGAGCGAGAACTGTAAGCAGATAACTGTCCTTGGAATCAGATGGCCTTAGGCTACTTTGGGTAAGGATTAAAGGATGTAAGGATTAAGGCAGGGAACTTTGCAAATCTGACCTGTTTGGGAAACTTCTCTGTTGTGTCGTGATTTCTGGGAAAGACTGACAAGGAGTTAGTTTCACTTTGATGATGTCGCTCAGTAGAGCGAGTCTGCTGTGAGCTGGACAGGTGGGGCCTGGGCAGGGCCTGGTGCAGAATAGCGGTAGCTGTGGCTGTGCTGCATGCTGAATTCACTGCAGACCCACCGTGTTCCTGGGTAGCCTTTGGAGAAGCACAAGCACCGCAGGAAGTGGTGAAGTCCACTAAGTGGCAAGGCCACGTGTTGGAGCTGCAAACAGAGGGCAGTGGGGCAGAGCCTGGCCAGAGGTTTGGGAAATGAGTAGGCTGGGAATGGAGATGGCGCTGGGTGTCCTGGTCATGTCCCTTGTTATTGGGACAGGATACCCAAAGCCTGTAGCTGAAAGAAAGAGGTTTATTCTGGTTCACAGCTCAGAAGTTTCAGTCTGTGGTCGGTGGCTCAAGCACAGAGATGATATGGCAAAAGGCCCAGGCCAGGAAAGCCGCTCATTCATTCAGATCAGTGAGAGGGAACCGTGTAGAGCTTTCAATGACACAGTCTGCTGTGGGCCCGTGGCCCAGGCTCACCACCATGGGGTCAGACGGAAGGCGGCACCTGAGAGCGGCTTCCCCAGCTTCACTGAATGTGACAGACGAACGACTTCTTCCTGAGCTGGGATGAGAGCTGTAGGAGGAGATCAGAGCTCTGTCCTAGAGTGGATTAGTCCACTGGTGGGCTCCTGGCTTCCCTGGAGGATGGCCTGCTATAAAAGCCTCGTGCAAGGGTGCTCGCTGCCTTGTCTCTCGTGTAGCTTGGGCTGTGGCAACCCCAAGACTGTCATGCAGCCCCTCAAGCTTTGCTCAGAATTGTGAGCCAAGGTGAACCACTTTCCTCTATAACTTCCTTGTCCGTGGTATCATGTTATTAGCAACTGAAAATGGGTTATGACATGCAGTTTAAAGAGCCAACAGATGAAAGCCAATGTAACTGTAAACATGATTATAAAAAATAAACAACCATGCCAAGGGAAGGCGGGAAAGGAGGAAACGAATAACAACAAGATCAAGGGTTGAACAAAACAAACAGCAAGGGGTCAGGAATTTAGCTCAGTGGCACAGTGCCTGCCTGGCAAGGATGTAGTCCTGAGCTTGAGACCTGGCACCAAAAAAAAAAAAAAAAAAAGTTAAACAAACACCTAGCAAGACAGCCGACTCTGAACCATGTCTGCAGTTACGGTGAGCATGGCAGGGTAAACCCTCTAAGGAAAGATGGAGACAGGCAGAGTGGATAAAAATATAGGGAAGGTGGGTGCGGTGGCACATGTCTGTAATCCCAGCACTTAGCAGGCTGAAGCAGGAGGATCCTTGAGAGACCAAAGCCAAACTGGACTACATAGTAAATTCAAGGTCAGCCTGAGCTACATATCAAGACTCTGTCTCCAAACAAACAAACAAAAAGCAGGAGCCCAGAGGTGTGCCCTATGTACAAGAGAGGCTCTTTAAATGTGCAGGTGCAGGTGGGCTGCCAGGAAAAGCCAGGAAACCAGTTACAGCTGGTGTAACTCAACATCAGGTGAAGATGCTTGAAGACTGAGCTAGAGAAAGACCTGCACAGTAATAAAGGGTGAGTTAATCACACAGAAACCACAGCAAAAAACATGTAAGCATCTAATAACAGAGCTTCAGAATCTATAAAGCAAAGTTTGGTTCCCAGGTGCAGGTGCTGAGAGCCAGAGCCCTGTTGGCTCCCATTGTGGGAGGAGGTCTGCATGGAATCACCCACATGTCAGGAGAAGAGCCCTTCCCCTGTGGTGACCTGCTATCCTGGGCAATTTTGCTCACATTGTAGTGTAACAGGAAGTGAGATTTGTGAGACAGAGGTTCTAGGTTCCTGCTCCTGCTAATCCCATTCACCCTGCAACTTGGAGTAAGTCATAAAGTCCTTTGAGCTTTAGTTGCCATTAATATCCATAGACAATTAGAAGTAATAATCTGCTTCCAGCTGCACGAGTGATCTTCATCTTATTCTTGGCTTTGATAATTTAAACATTTTTGCAGAAACTCCTGGGAGGAAAAAGATATAATATATATATTTTTTGTTGACTATAAGATTTGAAGAACTGATACCTAAATGAAATGATTCTCACAGAGAGCATGTGAAGAAAATTTCAATGATGAAGTTAGAAATATCTTCCTAATTTTATGGCGGGATAAGAACACACAGCATGCCTTCACAGCTGGGCTCAGTGTCAGCAGCAGCTGGGTCCCCTCATGCTTCAGCCTCTGCCCAGCCTCCTTGGGGTGGTGTCAGCCCAGTGCACCAACCCACATCCGACTCTTGGGAGCACTCTGGCCTTGTTCGGGTGTGGAACACACCTGCGGCCCTGGGGACCCTGGACCCTGCTTGTCCTCTGCCTTTCTGCTGGGTAAAAATTTCAGGTTAAAGACTCTCCCACCTCATGTTGGCAAGTTTCCCTTTCCCGCCCTCCCTTTGATCTCTACCTGTGGATCGGTCAGCAGTGTGATCTGCACTGTCCCTCTCTGAGCAGAGGGAGACTCCCGTGTTGCCAGCTGAAAGGTTGCTCTTGGGCTCAGCCAAGCCCCTGCATCTTGGAGACCTGGGCTGCTGTGCCATCTGCCGAGGCCCACACGGTTGGCTGTCAGGCAGCTACACAGGATGCGTGTGGGGAGAGGCGGGACGTGGGTGTCCCTCAACTCATTTCCAGAAGGTGTAAGGTGCAAGATCTGCACGTTGGCTGTAAGTCAGCACTGCTGGAGCTGTAAGGTGCCCGCCCACTACCAGAATTCCCACCTCCTTTTGCAGATCCCCACCACCCTCCTTGCCAATGGTGCCTACACTTCCGTGCATCTTTTGTTTTGTTATTTTTTCTAGTTTTGGGAATTGAACCCAGATCTTCACACTGAGCCACACCCCCACCTTCCTTTTTATTTTCCATTTTGAGATTGGGTCTCACTATGTTGCTGGGCTGCCCAGGTTGTGCTTGGACTTTCAAAGCTCCTGCTTCAGCCTCCCAGAGTGCTGGGGTGACAAGTGTGTACCACCATTCCTGAGGTGCTTTCTTTTAACTACCTTTCATTGCACTGAATTGAGCATGAGATTAGCAAGCACTGCTCCCTACTGGAAAAATTCATCCAAAATATAAACTATGCCGACTTCTCTCAGGTTTGAATCCTTTTTCCTGGGTGTGTTTTCCTCATGCACAGATGAACTGACTGGGGAAAGGGTCTATCTATCATACAGTGACCTGGGAATTAGGAAGGTAGTAACCCTGTGAATCATGGAACAAAGTAATAATGTACCATGCTAGCACATCATTAAACAACAGGTTAACAAGTTGTGGACCCCTCTTTCCGGCTGGGTTCCTTGATGGGCCAGGGTTGCCAATTCTAGTCCAGTTTCAGTCCCCTCCTGCAGAGCCTACTTAGGGGTTTCCCTGCAGGGAGCTCTTAATTATCATTAGGTTACCATAGGCTGGTACCACTCTGCTATGGACTATAATAGATTCCTAGGCACAGTTAATATTTGGTTTGCATTTATACATTTAAAACCCAGTTTCTAGAAATAGGTCTCTTGAGAAT